TTTTTTTTTTTTTTTTTTTTTTTGCTGGATTGTCTCTTAATGGCTGATGCCTGGATCTCAGCCCGAGATTCTGATATCATTGGTTTGGGGTGCTGCCTCAGTGTCAGGGTTTCAAAGCTCCTGGCGTGATTGTAATATGTAGCAGCTCAGGCTGCTTGGAGAGAAGATACCAGTGTGTGTGTGCACACACATGAGTGTGAGTTTCTAAGTAAACTCAACCCACTTTCTCTCTTGATTTTTTTTTTTTTTTTCTTGCTTTGCCTATCATTTCTAGCCTATCCTCAGTGACCTATCTCAAGCCTCGGCTTTAGGTCATTATCTATTACCTGGAGACTTTTTGAGTCAGGAGCCCATTGTGAGGATATGCAATTGCTTTTAGACCAGATTCCAGTTTCTAATTTCCAGTTAAATAAAGCAGAGGTGAGATTAATCCAAAAACAGTAACTCAAAATCCAAGTGCATCTAACTTTGGCATCAAGCACACACACAAATATTTCCAGACAGCCCAGGCAGGAGCCCACCCACAGTCCCTCAGCCCCATCACCGCCTAGTTTTGCCAGTTGGGTTCTGTAAGGGAAGATACTGTGGACAATCAGTGTATTTCCCCTTCATTGTTGAGCTCACAAAATTAACTGAGAGCTGGCTACATGGGACTATGTATTCACAGGACTGCAACCAGGAAGAGTACAGTGTATACCTAATTTATGGGCAAACACTTCTTCAATTAACTTCTGACGCTTTCCTACAAACAAAGCTTGTCCTGGGAACGGAGTAGCTATTGATTCTCTGGGCACACAAGACCCGTGGTTCTCAAACTGTGGCGGGCATCCGAATCACCGGGAGGTGGTTAAAACACAACATTGTTGGGTTCCACTCTTAGGGTTTCTGACTCAGGAGGTCTGGGGTGAGGCTTGAGAATGTGCATTTCCATCACCCTCCCAGGTGATGCTGATAAAGCCACAGAGAAGCACTGGCGTTGGTCCTTGTGGTCCTTGGACCAGCAGCATCAGCATCAGCTGGAAACGTGTCAGAAATGCACATTTTCAGGCCCCACTCCTGACCTGCTTCGTTGGAAAAACTGTGGAGGAATTGGTCCAGAAATCTGTGTTTCAGCAAGCTCCCCAGCGATTCTGATGCACATTGCCAAAGCAAATGAGCAACGGTGCTAACATGTCTAGTAGACGGTTAAAGATTATAGGATGGAAACAGCTGGCTAGAAGTTACTAGGTCATTCACACATGTTCTCTGAAGTGCAGACCCATGGGTTCGAATTTGCTCTCGAAGTCCTGTATCGTTTTTCTGATTCTTTCATTTCTTAGAGCTAAACACAGAAAGCAGAAGATGCCATAGTAATTCAGTCACTGCTTTTGAAGCCATTGCTGTCTCATGTCTCAAAATGTACTTCATTTGGGAAGTAAAACACAATTTTCCAGAGTACTTTTTTTTTGAGATGGAATCTCTCTCTGTCACCCAGGCTGGAGTGCGATGGCGTGATCTTGGCTCACTGCAACCTCCACCTTCCGGGTTCAAGTGATTCTCCTGCCTTGGCCTCCTGAGTAGCTAGGACTACAGGCATCCACCACCATGCTTGGCTAATTTTTATATTTTTAGTAGAGATGGGGTTTTGCCATGTTGCAAGGCTGGTCTCGAACTCTTGACCTCAAGTGACCCCCCCTGCCTTGGGTTCCCAAAGTGCTGGGATTACAGGTGTGAACCACCGTGCCTGGCTCCTACAGTGCTTTTTAATGCACATACTTTCAGAATAGTTTTAGGCGTTAAACATGTACACTTAAGATGACATTTTATGCACAGTTTTGTAACCTGTATTTTTTTATAATTATATTAAACTAACAGCCATATATTATTCAGATTTCCTAGTTCTTGCCTAATGTCCTTTTTCTATCTCTGAACCCCATCCAGGGTACCACGTTACACTTGGTCATCATGTCTCCTTAAGCTTCTCTGGGAAAATTTCTCAGACTTTATTTTCAATGACCTTGACACTTCTGAGGAGTACTGGTCAGATATTTTGTAGAAGTTCTTTCATGTGGAATTTGTCTGATTTGTTTTTCTTTTCTCGTGGTTTGGCGTTTGTGTGTTTTGAAGGATGACTGCACAGGTAAATTGTCCTTTTCATTGATTATTGCTGTTGATGTTGACCTTTATCACTTGGCTGGGGAAGTGTTTGTCAATTTTTCCACCATAAAGTTACTCTGATTTCTCCCTTCCATACTTAGTCTAGGACTGAGTGAGGAGTTAGGCTGGGTGTGGTGGCTCATGCCTGTAATCCCAACATTGTGGGAGGCCAAGGAGGGAGGATTGCTTGAGTCCAGGAGTTTGAGAGCAACCTGGGCATATAGGGAGACCCAGTCTTTACAAAAATACAAAAATTACCCAAGTGTGGCAGCATCCTAGCAGCTACTCTGGAAGCTGAGGCGCGAAGATTGCTTGAGCCCGGGAGGCGGAGTAAAGATTCTGCCACTGCAGTCCAGCCTGGGTGACAGAGACCCTGTCTCAAAAAAAGAGAGAAAAAAAGCAAAAAAAAGGGTGGGGAGTCAGGCTCCACCTCTTTGAGGAAGGAGTATTTGGAATTCTTCTCCATGGGAGATTTGTCTACTCTGCCCATTCATTTATTTCTTCAAGTACTTATGTCAGTATGAACTCATGGATATTTATTTTATACTTTGGGTTATAACTGAATATCACTTTATTTATTTTGTAGCTTAAATTATTCCAATTTTCACCATTCAGTTTCAGGTAGCTTCTGTGTCTCTTGGATGTGTAGCCATCACTGTGGTGTTCTGTCTTGTTTCTGCGTATTTCCTTACTTTCTGGTAAGACAAGAAAGTCTCATTTTGCATATCCCCTGCCCCAGTGCTAGAAGCAAGCAAATCTCTCCAACAAGCCCTGGCTTCTTTTGTTGGAGAAAAGTATTAGAAAGTTAGAGCTGACACTAGATGTGCTCATTGCTACTGGGGGTTGTTACTTACGGGCCCTCTCGGTGGACAGAGTAAGGAAATACGTATGTGTACTAACCCGTGTGTATACATATCTCTATAATTACACATGCACACATACACATATATCTGCATCTACATTAAACTAAACATGAGTTCCCATTGATGTCTCTAAATGTAACTCATCACCATCATGGTTCATTGCAGTCTTCCCATTACTTTTCTGTAAATTCCAACATTGAGATCCTGGCTCCCACCATCCACCACCCATGTACTTTGTTCAATCCCCATATGTGTGTTCAGTGATTTCAGACTTGTTAATCTGCATCCCCACGAGAAACAGTTTTGCCAACTAGAGTACGATGATTATGAATAGTTCCTTTTATCTTTAGTCTTAAAGTCTCTAGTCATTTCAGAAGTGATGTAGGTCAGCATTCTTTCTCACTCATCCCATTCAGTAAGATTATGCCATATATTTGTAACACTGTTAGATTCTTTTATTGCTGTCTGCATTCTATCTTGGGGTTGCATAATTTCCCAATTGGTGTATTTTAAAGTTTGCTTTCCTTATGGCTTACTTTTGTGCTGTAAAACTCTGTGGGTTTTGGCAAATATATAGTGTAATCTATCCACCACTGTAGTATCCTACAGAAAACTTTCCTCATCCTAAAAGTATCCCCGGCATTTCATGTAGTCAATGCTCTCTGCTCCCCAAACTCTTGGCAACCACTGATCTGTTTTCTGTCTCTAAAATTTTGTCTTTTCCAGAATGTATATTTCCTTACTTTCTGGGAAAACAAGAAAGTCTCATTTTGCATATCTCCTGCCCCAGTGCTAGAAGCAGTCAATTCTCCAAGAAGCCATGACTTCTTTTGTTGGATAAAGGCATTAGAAAGTAAGAGAATCACAAGGTCGAGAGATCAAGACCATCCTGGCCAACATGGTTAAACCCTATCTCTATTAAAAGTACAAAAATTAGCTGGGCATGGTGGCATACGCCTTAGTCCCAGCTACTGGGGAAGCTGAGGCAGGAGAATTGCTTGAACCTCGGAGGCGGAGGTTGCAGTGAGCCAAGATCGCACCACTGCACTCCAGCCTGGGCCCTAGGGCCAGTCTGTCTAAAAAAAAAAAAAAAATGACACCAGATATGCCCATTGCTGCTGGGGTGTTGTTGCTTCTGAGGTGCCATGTAAATAGAATCATACAGTACACAGCCTTTTCTGACTGGTTTCTCTAACTTAGTAATAATGCATATAAGACTTATCTATGTTGTTGCATGCACAGTATTTTTATTATTTTTATACCAAAACATGTATACATTTTTCTCAAAATATTATTCCCTTGACAACATCTGGTTAAGCCGAATGTTTAGTAAATGTCAGTAGGAGCCAGTGAAGAAGTGGGAAAAATTAGGTTTACAAAATTGGACAGAGAGGCAGGACATGATGGTAATATTTATTATGTGTTAAAATAACATTTATGCAACATATTGCAGAAAATTTAACAAAATTGCATGAAGCGCAGTTTGGGGGTTTCCAACACGAAATGCCTATACGTTCCTGAAATTATATGGAGATATGCTTCACATCAAGCAAAGTTCTATTTTTAAAAATCGTGATTTGAAAACAAATTAATTAGGAGGGTGTTTGTATGTTTTTCATTAGAATTGTTCATTTTCCAGGCAGATTCAGAGTATCCTATTAAAATATCCAGATTACTTTGGAATTCTAATGTGTTCTATTTATTTAAAAACTCAGTTGACAAATATAAGAGCACAATTACTATTGAAAATGAAGTGTAGTAAGTGGCACAAAGCTCTGATGTTTGGCTGTCTAAACCCAACATGAATTTCAGAAATCATCAACCAAATCAAAGACCGTGCAGCAGCAGTCCCACTGTGGCCTTCCCTGCCCGAGGAGAAGGGCAGTGAAAAGATCATGGCCATGGTGAGGGTATGTTGGGAGGAATCTCCGGAGAAAAGACCCAGTTTCTGTTCCATCAAGAAAACTTTATGAGAGGCCATTCCCAGAGGGTAAGTTAGATGTGCAACAGATATTTACTCTCACTCAGTTAACCATTAGGATTTTAGAGCTGCCAGGCATGGTGGCTCATGCATGTAATCCCAGTGCTTTAGGAGGCTAAGGCAGGAGGATCCCTTGAGGCCAGGAGTTCAAGAGCAGCCTGGTCAACATGGTGAGATTCTATATCTATAAAAAAATAAAATAAAATAAAAAATTAGCCAGGTGTGGTGGTGTGAGCCTGTAGTTCTAGTTTCTTAGGGGGCTGAGAATCGCTTGAGCCCTGGAGGTCAAGGCTCCAGTGAGCTATGATTGTGCCACTGTACTGCAGCCTGGGTGACAGAATGAGACCCTGTTTCTGTGATTGGTTCTATGCGACTCATTCCCTCCCTCCCTCCCTTCCTCCCTCCCTTCCTCATACACTCACTCAGGGCTTACCATACACAAAGCACTGTACTACATGCTGGTTGCAGTGGAGTGAGAAATTCTCCCTTTATTTCATAGATGCCACAAAATGGATCAGATATTAATAATTTTACTGCCTTGTCTGTCTCAGATGTCACTAATCAATTAAGGTCCTTGTTTCCAGGGAGTTTTGACATGGCTTCAGAATCTGTTTCAAATCAGCATTCCAAGGGTTAGGCTAATCAGTTCGGACTGGACCATGAGATAAAAATTACTCACCACCTGTAGGGTAGGTTATGACTTAAATCATTCATGCATCTCCAACAACTTTCTCAATAGTATCTTCCTTTACACCAGATAATTGTATCATCTTTCGGTATATGAATTTAGGAAGACATGCCCATGTTAGAGGTAGCTTAAGTTGGTGGAAAGAGCCCCAGGCTGGAAGTCAGGTGTCTACTCTTAATTTGGACCTTCAGCTATGCATTCCTTTTTTTTTTAAACAAAACATTTTTTGGGTCAGGGTCTTGCTCTGTTGCACAGGCTGGAGTGCAGTGGTGTGATCTTGGCTCACCGCAATCTCTGCCTCCCGGCTTCAAGTGATTCTCATGCCTCAGCCTCCTGAGTAGCTAGGACTGCAGGTGTGTGCCACTACGCCTGGCCAATTTTCATATTTTTAATAGAGACAGGGTTTCGCTATGTTGGCCCGGCTGATCTCAGACTCCTGACCTCAGGTGATCTGCCCGTCTTGGGCTCCCAAAGTGCTGGGATTGCAGGCGTGAGTCACCACACCTGGCTTCAGCTATGTCTCTTTTTCTTTTTCTTTCTTTCTTTTTTTTTTTTTTTTGAGATGGAGTCTCTCTCTGTCACCCAGGCTGGAGTGCAGTGGTGCAATCTCGGCTCACTGCAAGCTACGCCTCCTGGGTTCACACCGTTCTCCTGCTTCAGCCTCCTGAGTAGCTGGGACTACAGGTGCCCGCCACCATGCCTGGCTAATTTTTTTTGTATTTTTTTTTTTTAGTAGAGACAGGGTTTCACTGTGTTAACCAGGATGGTCTCGATCTCCTGACCTCGCGATCCACCCACCTCAGCCTCCCAAAGTGCTGGGATTACAGGCGTGAGCCACCGCGCCCGGCCAGCTATGCATTCTTAACACGATAGCCCTGTGTTCTGCATTTCCAAGCTCATAAGTTTTTAAATTTTAAAAATTATTTTTATATTGTTTTTAAAATTAACAAATGAGGCTGGATGTGGTGGCTCAAGCCTGTAATCCCAGCACTTTGGGAGGCTGAGGCAGGTGGATCACCTGAGGTCAAGAGATTGAGACCGGGCTGACCAACATGGTGAAACCCCATCTCTACTTAAAATACAAAAATTAGCCAGACGTGATGGCACACACCTGTAATCCCAGCTACTCGGGAGGCTGAGACAGGAGAATCGTTTGAACCTGGGAGGTGGAGGTTGTTGTGAGCTGAGATCGCAGCACTGTACTCCAGCCTGGGTGACACAGCAAGACTCCATCTCAAAAAAATAAAATAAAAATAAAAAATAAAATTAACAAATGAAACATTGTTTATATTTATGGTATACCTGATGTTTTGGGACATATATACTGTGTTAAATGATTAAATCAAGGTAGTTAACCTAAAGGTACATCTTAAGTAAGCTTAAGATACATCCTGATGTTTTACTTAGAAAATATGGACCTCAATGTTACAAGTCTATTTACCTATGTAAGTCTAGGTCTCCTCATCTGAAGATGAGGAATTTAAATGAGTTCTCTGAAGACCCTTCGAAAACAAAGGACTAATAGAATCTAGAAGTGCCCCTTACATTAGACCGTCTGAAAAGAAAGGAATGACCCATCCCACAATCTGCATTCTCAATGTCTGTTGGGAGGCAGGGAATGGGCCATTGAAGGCTGCTATTTGTTGAGTGCCTGTGGATGGATGTGGCCCTAGACACTTTATGCATGTTATCTCCCTACATCCTCAGAACAACAGCGTAATCGTACATACATGAGGTACGTGTGATTATCTTCATTTTCCAAATGAGTGAAGTGAGACTCAGAGAAATGAAGGAGGCAGCTTAAGCTCAGAGGGCTGGTGAAAGGCTCTGTCCTGTCACGCAGCTGCATTGTCATTGTCATCTCCCCGATGTCCGCTGCCAACCCTTAACTAGGACACCTGAAAGGTGAGAAATATTTTCCTGGAATGTGTAGTTGGAAGCTCTGTTCCACTGAGGCCCTAAGGATCTTGGGAGAAAACATCAATGTCTGATTTCTTTTAAAGCCATGTGGGCATACTGGCCAGTATGATGAGCAAGCTGGAAGTGTATGCCAATCACCTGGAGGAACTGGTGCAAGAGAGGACCAGCCGGCTGACTGCAGAGAAGAGGAAGGTGGAGAAGCTTCTGTCCACTATGGTGCCCAGGTATTCGGAAGCAGTGGGGACTTGATGAAGCTGCAGCATCACCATCTAGCAGCCCCACGTAGGCGGGATAACTTCCATGATTACTTTTCTAAGAGGATGTCAGGCTCTTCTAAAAGGGGTCAGGCATTTTTTGTGCAGTTTGGTACACCTGTAAAGGGAGATAGAAGCAAACTCTTCTGAATCCATAGGAATAGAGGCTGCAGTCCGTCTATTATGTGGAGGATGGCGGATGCAGCAACAGGAGAGTAGCCACTAGATGGCGCCCTCGTTTCATGAGTCTGACTAATTGCTACCTCCCCTGTATTTGATTGTCGGTCCAAAACCTCTGCACAGTTTAATATGTACCTGTGGCTTCACATTCAAATATTGCTCCATTTTTGGTTCTGTTTCTACATGTTCACTCTCTTAACACTTGGCAGAAGTATTTGCTGTTAAAATTCCTGTGCACTTCTTGCATGTCTAGACCAAAGAAGTGGCGGCAGGGATTTTTAGTGAGATTGGTTGACTGAAATGAAATTGATTTGTGGATTGGTGAATGGTTATATTCGCTTCCACAACTGCAGAGTCTTTACACTCTAACTCTATAACCAATATACATCAAGAAAATCCTTTTTGTAAGGGCATTATGTGACCCTCTTTCCTACCCCGCCCCCACCATTTATACCCGTCAATTAAAATATCTCTTTGGAGAGAATGCAAGTGGAGAAGTGGATGTTGAAAGAATTCCTCTAGATAATGAATTTTGTTAACCAAAAGCTTAGCCGTTGAAGCAAAAGGACCAATGAGGACAACTTCGTGGGAGTCTGTAGGAGATGAGATGAATAAGATCCATTCAAAAATGATCCCTTTCTCTGGTTTCAGCTTCACTGGAGAGCAACTCCTAGCTGGAAGGTCCGTGGAACCAGAACATTTCGAGTCTGTGACAATCTTTTTCTCTGACATTGTTGGATTCACAAAGCTATGTTCTCTCAGCTCCCCCTTGCAAGTCATCAAGCTCCTCAATGACCTGTACAGTTTATTCGATCACATCATCACAAATTAACGTGAGTATAAGGTGAGACATCTCATCCTGGCTGTGAGGTCATGCGTGCTCCTTGAGGGCTGTCTCTGGGGCCTGACGAAGGATGGAACTGATTCCAGACATCAGCCAGGAGGAAACTCCATTTCAGTCTATGTCACTTCATGGCAGAAACTCAATATTTTATTTGTTTGTTTTGTTGGAAGAGGTCTTTATTAGTCACAGATGTATGTGCTTGTCAAAAATCACCAGTTTCCTCTGTCTTTCCTGTTTCCTTCCATTATTTCATCTCACAGTAAACACTTTTTAAAAAGAGGCATTGAACTTCCGCTGACTAATTCCTTCCCGTCTTTCCTAAATACATTTCCTTCCGAGGCAGAGAGGTTCCTGTTTACTCTCCTTCAAAGATTGTCCTTGGATCTTGTGTGGGTCTCACCTCTGTTGTCCTGATCCTTAGCAATTCAGAGTGAAGAAAGACTCCCAATTTTAGACTATCAGACTCATGGCTAAAAGGGGGGCAGCAACAATTACCTGCTGGGTGCTACTCTGGGAGACAGAAGGACATGGTCACCTAGAGTGAAAACCATTTTTGATGGGGAAAACAGAGACGTTCTGGCTCTTCATGACTGCCGAGTGGTGGTGGTGATGAGGGCTGCTTTCTGTGTGTTCTGACTCTTTAGAAGGGGTCAGATCATGACTCCAGGCACAGTACCGTGTGCCTGTGCTCATATATGCCTGGTGGGCAGCCACAAGTACACCAGCTCCGACCACAATCCCAGGGCCCTGCCTCTGCCTGTGGACCTGGGGACAGCGAGATTTGGGGGACAGTGTGGTCATATGGTCACATATCTCAGTGACAGAGTGACACGTCTTCAATGTTGATCTCCCAGTGTTCCCCACAAATGACGCCTCTGTTCAACGGTGAAAGAAAGGATAGTATAGATAACCTTGAAGAGCAGACCGCACACACCCAACAAAATCAGAGCCCTCCCTGCTCAGGAGGACGTCTTCTGGGATTTTCCTCTTAGTATTACCTGCTCAGTTGTGTTTTGCTTGAGCTCATTTTAAAACTTAGTTTGTATTTCTAAAGTATATTATCACGGTGGGGAGAGGAAACCCAGAAGCAGGTGAGGCTTGTTGACTGGTTGACTTCGCATCATTTCGGGGTCACCAAAACAGAGGTGTTCTTACCGTCTGGCTGATGCCTGCAATTCAGCCTTCACCACATCATCTTTGGATTCTGCTAAAATGCAAATGTGTCTGGAAAGGGCTGTAACTACTTGTCATTTATTTCTCTATTGTGAATGACAGATCTGAAAGCTGATTTTATTAGGAGGATGGGGGGGAAGAGGACAGACAGGCAGATACATACTATATATATGAATACATTTTGTATAATGTATAATGCGTACCCATTTATAAATGTGTCTAAGAGCCCTTGTGTGGGGCATGGACATTTCGGGTTGGGGGAGATGGTCTCTGCTTGACCGATCCACCTCACCCTTCCAGGTTGACTCCAGGAGCACACTGCTCCCTGTCTCACTGGTTCTGAATTTGGGCTGGGGAAATAGAGTCACTGCTGCTATTGGATTTCAGAGGAGGAAACAGTAAATGTGGGGAAGGAGGCTGGGGGAAGGAGGGTGAGGTGGGCTTTGTGGAAGAGCCATTACAAGGGCAGGAACTGAAGAAATGCTGGAACTTGCATGGGGCGGAGGTCAGGGAGTGTGACACATCCAAAAACAGGGCCTCGAGGCTGGGGACGAATGTGGGGCCTTAATCTCTGACCCACCCTGACCCTTGGCCTCCCTCATGGGAAACAAAGGTCACTCTGTCGCTTTGTTTTCAGGTTGAGACCACTGGAGATGCATACATGGTGGCTAGCAGACTCCCTATCCGCAATGGAAACCAGCATGTGGCTGAGATTGCCACCATGTCCCTGCACTTCTCAGTGCCACCATTCATTTGCTTCCAGACTGGGCACTTGCTCCAGGAGAAGCTCCAGCTTCGGATTGGCTTCCACACAGGTAGACAAAACTGATGGCCTGATGGTCCAGGGATGGCGGCAGGTCGTTCTGGGTTCCATTCCTACATCCAAGGCTTTTAGGAACCCGGACATTGAACGGTAACCTCTTTAGGGGAAATAAAAGATTGAATTGTCTCTGCATGTGTGTTTCTATTTAGCTAGGTTGCTTGGTAACAACAAGGACACACAGTGGCTTCAATGTATTCAACCAAAAATAAGGACTGGGCGCGGTGGCTCACACCTGTAGTCCTAGCAAATTGGAAGGCCGAGATGGATGGATTGCCTGAGCTCAGGAGTTTGAGACCAACCTTAGCAACATGGTAAAACCCTGTCTGTACTAAAATACAGAAAACCAGCCAGGTGTGGTGGTAGGCACCTGTAATCTCAGCTACTCAGGAGGCTGAGGCACAAGAATTGCTTGAACCTGGGAGGCGGAGGTTGCAGTGAGCTGACATTGTGCCACTGCACTCCAGCCTGGGCAACAAAGTGAAACTCTGTCAAAAGAAAGAAAAGAAAAGAAAAAAGAGAGAGAAAAAAAAGGAAGAGACCAAACCCCAGGACGGGTTATATAGGGCTACTTTTCCTCCACGCCTCAACATCAAACGCCCTTTGATGTGGTCTGTGTTTGCCAACTCATGGGCATGTGATCTGTGCAGAGGTGGTCCATGCTTCATTTCATGCTCTTCTGTTACCGTCTGGCAATTCTTAATCATCTTTGCACAAAGTATCCTGTGTTTTCACTCTGCACCTGTTCCAGCAAATTTTGTAGCCAGTTATGCTACTACCTATCTTCCAGGGCTCAACAAAAACAAAACTCCATCCTCAGAATGAATTGCTCCCATGTTTGTGCCACTGTTGGCATTGTTCACAGCTCTAGTTCATGAGTGACACGGTCATTTAATGACCGTGATGATGTCGCTTTCCAGCAGGAGTTTGGGTTCTGTCGGTTTCCTTTCTGTAAACTCTAAAATCTATTGCCAAACTTTGCCCCAAGAGGGCGCATCACTACATTTGTTGATTTGATGCGCATCATAGAGTCCAGCCTCGGGCAACGCAGAGCAGTTATGGTCTTTGGTTCTCCACTCTTCAGGTCCTTTGGTGGCTGGTGTGGTGGGAATTACCATGCCCAGATACTGTCTATTTGGAGACACTGTGAACATGGCATCCAGAATGGAGAGCAGCAGTTTGCATGTCACTGATGACACTTTGTAAACACAATATTGTTATCCCTCCAGGCCCCTAGCTTTAACCAGGGGATACTTTTAGAAGAGGCATTTGCTTTTTGCCTACTGTTTTCCTTCTGGAGGATAAGATCATTATCCACTTCAGGCAACACTGATCACACACTTTATAGACAGGGTTTTGCACTGTGCTCTCGTTAGAACCATGCAAATACACATACCCTCCTTTCTTCTGTGACTTTCCATTCTAAGCAATCACACATGCATATAATAAAATCACTTAAATGAAGAGCAGGAGTTGGAAAACTTTTTCTTTCTTTCTTTCTTTTTTTTTGAGATGGAGTCTTACTGTGTCACCCAGGCTGGAGTGCAGTCGTGTGATCTTAGTTCATTGTGACCTCTGCCTCCTGGGTTCAAGGGATTCTCCTGTCTCAGCCTCCCAAGTTGCTGGGATTACAGGCATGTGCCACCACACCCGGCTTTTTTTTTTTTTTTTTTTTTTTTTGGATTTTTAGTAGAGACTGAGTTTCACCATGTTGGTCAGGCTGGTCTTGAACTCCTGACCTCAAGCGATCCACCCACTTCAGCCTCCCAAAGTGCTGGGATTAGCTGGCATCAGCCACTGCATCTGGCCTGGAAAACCTTTTCTATACAGGGCCAGACAGTAAATATTTCAGGCTTCAGGGGCCATAGAGTCTTTGTTGTAACTACTTAACTGCTGTTGTAGCTCAAAAGCAGCAATAGACAATATGTCAATCAACAGGCATGGCCATGTTCCAATAAAACTTTATTTGCAAACACAAGTAGTGGGCTGAATTTGGCCCATAGGTGATAATCTGCCCTTCTCCAAGGTAGAGTATATTCTTGGTGGTACAGAAGAAATCTATAGCCAGGACCTCCATGGAATATTACATCCTTTTGCTTTATAGTAATTTTATTTCATTGACCATTGCCAGGCACTTGTATGCTGTTTATCAGTTGGGACATGTAAAAAAGAATTACCCAGTGATGTAAGTTTCAAAAAGATTTAGGTGATTAACATTGTTTTGTTTTAAATTTGTAAATTTTCCACAGGGCAAAGGAGAGCAAACAACTTTCTGGTTGAAAGGTAAAGAAGGCTTCACTCTTCCACTCCCCGAATTTACTCAGGAAGAAGCCAAAGTCCCAGAGATATTGTGAGGTGAGTGTTTTCTTTCAAGATGTTTGTGAATTTGTGGAGTCATGTGAAAGTCTTTGGGAACCCTTCTTTGAGACCCAGTCAATATCCCATTTCAGAGGTGTGTTTCCGGGGCATTGGTCCCGTCACCCACTAGGGGGAGCCTTCTAGCTGGCCTCTTCCAATCCCGGTGTTTGCTCCCAGCCTGTGCCTCCAGCAAATGTAGGCTTGGAGGAGCTGAAGATGGTGAACTCATTTCATGGGGTGCCAGGGCTGGCCTGTGGCTCTCAGCCCTGTGCAACTGCCCTAGCTGCCAGATATTTACAGCCCATTAACTTGAGAATTTGCAGTGAACCCAGTTTCATTCTGTAGGAGGGGAAAGTGGAGAGGATGAAGCCTGTTTTTCCTGTGCAAGGTGCCTGCTCTCTAACCTTTGGTGCTGATTTTCCTTATCAGTTAATCAGTTTGCAAGGAGATAGGAGCCCATATCTGACAGCATCTTGAGAATGTGTTCAGGAAAAAAAGCTCTAAGGCAGGAGCAGCCCCTGAAGTCCAACAGGGCCGAGACTATTTCAAGCAGCCAGGCCCTCTGCAGTTATTGAAAAGCCTGGTTCTGAACCCTGAGTTACTGTGAGATAGCCAGCTCCCAAATGCATAATGCCCTCTTCCCAATGTATTGCCTAATTCCTTTCCTACTCACAGAGCAAAAACTTCTGCAGTCAAGGCTTGAATTTTAAGAAGAATTTCTCAGTCATTTATGGAGACTTTAATTTAAAAAAATTTCCAGTAGACAAAGACGAACCCATCGATTCCTGCTACGATAGTTTTCCCTTCTACATAATGAATAGGATTCCATGTTGTTTTATTGAGCGGATCTTTTAATAGATTTGCTGAACCACTAATGCATTTATAGTACTTCTTTCTTCATCTCTTGCAACTCCTCACATCCAGATATCTTTTGTGTGGTTGCTCCTGAATCTGGCAGAGCAATTTGAATGAAATATTGTGTTTGAGACCTTTTCCTGTTGAACTTCCCATGATTGAAGGAGCAAAAATCAATGAGACCAGAAATAGTTTCTTTCTTGCTGGGTCTTTGAGCTGCCTTTGCTGAGATACTTTTGAGACCTGTATGGGAAATAAACTACTTTTTGATTTATTGAAGCTTTTGACACCAAATTATATCAAAGATTTGGTGGAATTCTTGCCTTTCTTTAGGAAGAGGGACACAAAAGCACTCTCACTTCCCAATTAATCCAGTCTTCATTGAGCTCCTAAGCATTTCCATTAGCAGTATTTTGCTTCTGCCCAGAAAGGGAAGACTGAATTCTACATCTGTCACAGGCTCCGTTTTCTATATGAAAATTTTGTTTTCATTGTGGTAGGCTTCACTCCTCCCAGAGGCCTTCAGCATTGGGGACTGAAGGCTTTAGACTGATACTTAAAGGGAGAGAAGGCAGAAGGTATTTATGTGGAGAGAAGAGGAAGACTTTCTCCTGCTACTTTAGCATGGAGACAGTAGGCCAAATTTATCTTCTCATTCCCCATAACTCCTTTTCTTGAGATAATGGCTCTGGATCCCAAACACCTTGCTCAACCATGAAAGGAAACAAGGCCACCTCTACTATGAGGCCTCCTAGAGAGCTAGGATAGTCCTCATCCATCCATCCATCCATCCACTTATCCATCTATCCATCCATCCATCCATCCGTCCATTCACCCATCCACCCGTCCACCTATTCATGTGAACATTCTTTAATCCAAGGAGCATTTATTAAGCACTTACTCTGTGCCATTCTGGGGTACACAAGAGAATATAAACTTTCTCTTGATCTTTAGCTTGCAGTCTAGTTAGGGAGAAGAAAGCATAATTGCATGTCATAAAGCAATATTAAGGACTAATAGAGCTATACACAAAAGCGTAGCAGTAACTAAGCAATCCATCACTGTGACATTAAAAGAACATTAGAAAATAATATACAGATGAAGGAATGGGGCCAGGTAAGGCAGTTGCCTATTATTATCATGTCTTTGTATTGTGTGTGTGTGTCTTTTTTTCTTCCAGCCCTAGCCCATATGCTTACATAAGTTATGTTCATGTAACATAGAGTTAGTTCTGCCTTTCTTATTGAACATCATAACATAAACATTTGGCATCTAGACACTCATACACACAAAAACACACATGTGTGCACACACAGACATCCATATGCACACACATGCACATATATATATGCACACCGTCATATATATACACACGCATGCATACATACACACACATGCGTACATGGAGAAGGAGAAAGCGAGAGTATCTTTATGGATCACAACTAAGAATTTTGATAAGAACACTCTTCTAAATCTATATTCAGTATTTTTTCTATGTCAGCTAAGAATACCTAGGGGAGAATTACTTTTCTTCTTTTTCTTAATATTTCTATTGTGTTTAGAACTAATGAGAATTTACAAGAGATTGTTTTGAGAGTACTTTATCTTATTTTCTCAAAGGAGAAGTTATGAGAGAAGAAGGGTAATCAAACATCATGAGGCTGTTAGTTAATGTCAAGTCAAAACACATCCAGTTGCTGGTGAGAGACATTCGGGCTTTATAGGCAGGGATGACCCAAAGACCTTTTCCCCAAAATGTTAATCAATGTCTTAACCATTCTGGCTAACACGGTGAAACCCTGTCTCTACTAAAAATACAAAAAATCAGCTGAGCGTGGTGGCTGGCGCCTGTAGTCCCAGCTACTCTGGAAGCTGAGGCAGGAGAATGGCGTGAACCCGGGAGATAGAGCTTGCAGTGAGCTGAGATCATGCCACTGCACTCCAGCCTGGGTGACAGAGCTAGGCTCCATCTCAAAAAAAAAAAAAAAGTCTGTGGCATACATGCGAGTCTAAGAAGTTCTAGTTGTAGAAACCCCTGGGAGAATTGGGGAATTAGCTATCAACATGATATATTAACACTGTAAACTGTAGTCATAGGTTATTTATTTTAAGGCATTTTTTTTATTCCATAGCACCAGGTAGAGATACAAGATCATAAAACACAAGGATGAAATACAGCAAAACTAATAGAACATTGGTTTATTCTGACAGCAAAGGATTTGAACATGGCTATGAGTATGCTATTTAAGAGTTTTCTACTAGAACCAATAAAATATGTCTTCTGTTTTTCCTGACTACAAAAAATCTGAATTTATAGAAAGAAGAGATCCTAAACTCGTTGGAACTCCAGCTTAGGGACCAAATCTAGACTAGATTGAGTCATTTTACTCTAGCCTATTACTCAACAAACATATACTTCATGTATCTGGATATTTCATAACTAGTTTAATTTCTGAGTTCACTAACACAAGTTGTAAAAGAATCATCAAACTGCAGATTGCAAAACTTCTCAAATACATTAAATACAGAGAGACAAATGCATGTGTTGTTTTCAAATTATAAGCCTCCTAATTAAGTCTTTACATAACTAAGAACTTAGAACTCTGCCTTTTCCTATCACAGTCCAGGCAATTCTCTACCAGAATTTCAGTTTGTATTTTGTTGACAATATAAAGCATTTTTATGGGCATATTCTGGATCACTGGGGTGGCCAGTTACCAAGATGTGCTACTGCATAATTTCATTGGCCACATTTGCATTTGTGTTTCTGATTTTGTGTTAGCTTCATTCTAATCATCGTAAGTGAATGAGACAAAACCAGATGTAAGCTTCGATGTTTAAGTGAAAGCTAAATGAGATCAGACCATTTCTTACAAATGAAAACTTTTTAGTAGAGCAAATAGAGAAAAATAGCATTGAGTGTCACAAGGCATTTATTTGTAGGATTGAGTCACCAAACTCACAACACCTATGTCATTGGAGTCACTTTATAGTCATGTTTCCAGCAGCGGTTTCACTGGGGCAATGCCATGTTATTAGGTTAAATTAATGTGAGTTGTATTCTTCTTGTGGTTTTTCTTTTTGCAAATATTCCTATTTAATTTGTAATTTTATTTTGACTTTAGAAGTATACATCTGCTATAAAAACAGAGTTTATACCTATGTCATGTTTATATATTTAACAAATGGTATAATACATACAAATTAGGTCAGTACTAGGCGTTTTCAAGAATCCATTTCCTTTATATCATTAGGTTTGAGCGAAACTATTGTATTCCACTCTGATTCCCACATCATCTCCCACGTCATCAGTTGAAAGGTTGGAACCCCCTGCCTGGGAGCTCAGCTCTGGTCCTTAGGTAGAATGATACTGCCTCAATGACAAAGCCCCTTTTCGGCAAAGTCAGCTATTAATGGGTGTTCTGTATTTAGCATTGACTTTGTAGTTGCACCCTATATTCTCTTCAAAATGCTCAGCGGTACTTGGTTGGGTATGCTAACCTTTTAAAGTTAAAATAGCTTTCAAAGGAATTCACTGCAGCCCTGACTTGAGTATGGAGAAAGGAGACTTCTCCCGCAGCTTTAGAAGGACTGGGAGATCTAAGGGAATAATCTAAGTTTTTAGGAAGTAATCTAACTTTTTCTTAGAAAGAAAAAAGCATCACCGAATTCACAGAAATGATTGGAGCGCATATTTGGCAAAGTGCTATTCTCTGCTCCCCAACAATGTGGTCTTCTGTTTGTTCTTTTCGGCAGCACAATAAATGTGTTTGTCATTTGCTGAGGATGATTGTGGGTGGAGGAGCAGCAGCTGCCTGGCTAAGTCTACAACATGGCACAAATCCCCAACATCATGATGAGGTGGTGGAGAACATCTGTGGACCAGAAGGGGAGGGAGATGGCACTCAGAGACAGTTCTGAAAGGGTTAACAAAAGAATTAACAAGAGTCAACTCAGGGGTCTTCCTAAAATTCCATACATTTTAGACAAAGTCGATTTTGTTCATCTCTTGGGGATTCTGTAGCTCACATTTATCGGTTCAAAGAACCTGACAGATAAACCTAGGTTGTGGACCTCTGACAAATAGAAATCAGTGATGGTGCATTGTACTCTAGGGCTTTCACTATAGAACTTAAAAATGATGAGAATCTAGGACGGGAGTTTTAGAAGTTGATTTACATGATTTTCCTGTAATGATGAGAGCAAAATCTGGCTGTGAGATTATGAATAAATGAACTGTCTTACCCCATCTCCTCATGTAGTTGCTTCCTTCTTATTCAGGTGAGATCTTGGGTCTTAGCTGAAATGTTTCTTCCTCTAAGGGGCTTCCCTGGCCACTCTCTAAATCACGTCCCCCATCGCACCCCAAATACTTTGCACATACTAGCAAAGGAAGAGGCTTTGTCTGTCTTGTTCATGGCAGTAGCCATAAGACCAGCTCCTGGTACAGTCATCATGATCATGGCTCACCCTGACTGGATATTTGCTGTTTGCTGGGCATTGTTCAGTGCCCTTAGCTGTAATTAAATATCTATACCACAGCCATGTAGACAGGGGCAATTATTAGCCCAATTCCACAGAGGAAACTGGGGTATGGAGGGGTGAGGTCATTGCCCAAGGTCACTCAGTTAATGAAAGACAGAGCCGTAACAGGAATCCAAATATTTGTTGAATGACCAGATCACTGAAAATCTTGTTCTCCAAATGTTGGAACCCAAGGGAAGCCTTTATTGAGACGGGGAAGTGAGGTCCAGTTCTGCTTCATCCAATTTACCTTCAGTTCCTCCCTCTCTTCAGAGTTCAGGGGCTGGTCAGAGGGAGACCTCTTGATCTCGCCCCCTCTGCCCCACTCGGGTGTGCTTTAAACTATAATTTTCAATCCTTAAAAGTTTTGCTGGGGCCAAAGTTAAGCTTCTCTTAAAATACTCACTGCCTTTTAACAGCACAGCCCCACGAAATCCCAGAAGTGTCTCTTTTCCTTACCTGAGAAGCTATAGAGACTGGAAAATCCCCTGCCTGTAGTGAGTAAAGAGAGAGAATGCAGCAAGTTTAAGAAAAGATCACGGAAAGGAGAAGTCTCAGAGTGATGTTTCTAAAACACAAAACCTGGCTAGGGGCGGCGGCTCACACCTGTAATCCCAGCACTTTGGGAAGCCGAGGTGGGCAGATCACTTGAGGCTGGGAGTTTGAGACCAGCCTGGGCAACATGATGAAACCCTGTCTCTACCAAAAATACAAAAATGAACCGGGTGGGGTGGCACGTGCCTGTAATCCCAGCTACTCAGGAGGCTGAGTCAGGAGAACTGCTTGAAGCTGAGATCACACCATTGCACTCCAACCTGAGCAACAGAGCGAAACTCAGTCTCAAAAAATAAATAAGTAAATAAATAAATAATAAATAAATAAGTAAAACACAAAACCTGACCGCAATCCTCCCCTGATTAAACCATCAGGTGCTCCGTTGCCTTTCAGACAGTTTATACTGGGGGTTTACAAAGTTTCATCTCACAATACTTTCTCTCCAAGGCAGGGGTTGGTAGGCTTTCTGAAAAGAACCAGATAGTAAAGATTGTCAGCTTTGCAGGCCATACCATCTCTGCTGCCACAAATTCACCCTGTAGTTGCAGTGCGCAGCTGTAGACAGTATCTACGTGAACGAGTGTTGCTGTGTTCTAATAAAACTTTCTTTAAAGGCACTGAAACTTGAATTTCATATAATTTTTTTTTTTTTTGAGACAGAGTTTCACTCTTGTTGCCCAGGCTGGAGTGTAGTAGCACGATCTCTGTTCACTGCAACCTCTGCCTCCCAGGTTCAAGTGGTTCACTGGCCTCAGTCTCCCATGTAGCTGGGACTACAGGTGTGCACCACCACTCCCGGCTACTTTTTGTATTTTAGTAGGGACACGGTTTTGCCATGTTGGCCAGGCTGGGTCTGGAACTCCTGACCTCAGGTGATCCACCTGCCTTGGCCTCCCAAAGTGCTGGGATTACAGGCATGAGCCACCAAGCCTGGCCCTGAATTTCATATAAGTTTTACATGTCACGAAATATTGTTGTTTTGATTCTGTTTTTGAACCATATAAAAATGTGAAAACTGTTCTTAATTTGCAGGCCACAAAACCAGGTGGCACCTGGGCCTTGGCCCTTGGCCCTTGGCCTTAGCTTGGTGACTGTCCTCTAAGATAGAGCCGCTTCCTGCCTTCCCACAGGTTTTGCCCACCCTTCATGTCACACTATCCTTCGGGTCTCACTTGGAGATTGTCAGCAGAGCTCTTCTGCAAAGCCCTGCACTAGGTTGAATCCCTTTGCTCTGTTCAGGATGAATATCCCTTATCCAGAATGTTTGGGACCGGAAGTGTTTCAGATTTCAGATTTTTTTTTTTTTTTGAATCTTTGCAGTATACTGGTTGAACATCCCTAACTTGAAAACCTTGAATCTGAAATCTAAAATGCTACAATGAGCATTTCCTGTGACCATGACCTTCGAGCATCATGTGGGTGCTCAAAAAGTTTCAGATTTGGGAGCATTCAGATTTTGGATTTTCACATTAGTGATGATCAACTGTGCAACCATGGCACCAGCCCACTGTCACCCCCTTAACAGTAATTTCTCTTTCCCTTAGTGTCTAACATCTCTCTCCTTGCTAGACAGTAAATCCCTTGAGGACAGGGCTTGCGTGGGTCACATTTATTTCTGAAATCCTAGCACCCTGCTCAGGCCAGATAATGCTGGGTACTCAGTAAAGGTTTTTTGACGTGCCCATGACATTCTCATGACATATTTTCTCTCTTTCTTTCCTTTCTTTCTTTCTTTCTTTCTTT